AAAAAATAAAATATTAATAACCTTAAAAATATCTTTAGTGATCATAACAAAATTTAGTATTTCTTTAAATTGGGTTTTTGAGCAGTTCTCTCAGACACTGTAAAGAAAGCTTCTTTCTTGAATTTTTTTATATAAAATGAGCCATTACCTAGGTGTATACAAAAGAATATATAAGATACAAACTCAATCTGCAGCTATGGTTGCCTAAAATATAATAGACTAAAGGAGTACATGTCTGAACTAAAATATATATTTAACCAATCATCTAAATTAATTTAAAGTTTTTAGCCTCATGTTTTGAATGCGGAGCACGTGAGCCAATGTTCTCCAGCCTTGCACGCCTCTCACGCGTGACCCATGGGTCCGAATCTTGAAAATCCACCACTGCCGTGAATCAGAGCATAACCGCATGACCAATTTTGCGTGAGTTGTAAGCGGAATTTCCAGACCTTTGATAATTTTTTCTAAGAATTCTTGATAGAATTTCTATGATTAGTCAAAGTATAAAAAGGGGATTCAAGATTTCTAGTTTTTTCTAGTTTACCAATATCCTTTCCTTCTAAGGTTTATATATGTCAAGTCATTCCTCTTCTTAGATCAGAAAGCAAAACTCATTTATTTACTTTAATGTTGCTGCGTCTGATTTCGTTTGACTTAAAAGCTTATTTAATATACATGGGTTTATATTCAAACCTTTTTGTGATGTCATTTTCACTTTGATACAGTACAAGTCTTTTCAAAAAAAGATAAAGACAACGGTTTAGGTACGATGGCGGGCGCGGCAGTTAGGTAATCGTTCCCTTCAAAGGAGTCAGTATCGTACCGTACCGGCCGGTACGACCGGTACGTACCGGTTTTGAAGGTTAACCGAAACGGAATAAGTTAAGATTCCGTTTCGGTCAAATTTCGGGTGTACCGGCCGAAATTTCGGGTACCGGCCGGTACATCGGAATTTGACCGGTACATTATGCAAGAAGGAAAAAAAAAAAAAGTAGTATGTACCGTTTCGTATCGGCTGGTAC